AATCATTGAACGATAAAAGAATCGGTAATCTTAAACAATCTAATACTCTTTCAAATAAAATAATAGATATGAACTATTATAAAAAACGAACAATAAAATTGTTTATGAATATAAAAGAAAAAATATTTTTAGAAACAGATGTCAACAAATTAGAAAACCATATGAAGCAAGATACCAAATGGTCTAATTACCAAAAAAGTAAATTATCAGAATATACTAAACACACTTTAAAAAATCTGGATCTTTATAATAAGTTAAAAAACCAAATAATTAACTGCGAAGATATAGATGAAATAGAACACAGTATCATGCGAAAATTCAAAAAAATATCTCACATGATGAATTTAAAATTAAAAATTGATTTATTTCAATATATCGAAAATAAATTTTTAAATTTACATAAAGATTTTGATATCATAAATGAAGATAATATAGAAGATATGATAAAAAACGAAACAAGATTTTTATTATTAAACACATGTAATGCTTATGACGAAAAAATAAATTACTTGATTGAAGATCCCATCTCTCATGCAGAATATCAAAAATTTCGACAAACAATTTTCAATACCTTATTCAGATACGAAACAAACATCAAATTAAACACATACCTTGATCTCGCTTCACACAACACCACAAGTAATTTCATCAATTTTTGTTTAATAGAAATCGAGTTTATTTTAGAGATCAGGTATTATTCGTTAGGAAACAATACCATTCTTAGTAACAAGCAAATATTAATACCCGATCATAAAAATAAAATTAATCAAATCAATAATTTAAATATATTATATAACGAAATCAAATACAAAGAAATTGAAAAGGAAATCATGTACGAAAATAATATAAATACATTAATTAATAATGAAAAATACAATACAAAAATAGAAACCATAAACTACAAAATCATTAAATTAGATAAAATTTATTTACATAATTTACGTAAAAACAGATACGATAAATTGATAAAATGAACATATACTTTATATTATTTATCATTTTATTTTTCATCAATATCTCGACAGAAAATTTAACAGATATACATTGTATTACAATTAAAAATAATAAAACAATAAACATGTGTTTCAGAACACGTAATGAATTAAAAATCGTCATTGATCGATATGACCATAAATTATATACCTTTTTATTAAATTTATTACAACGTGGACTGTTGAATAAAAAATATTCTTTTGACTATATCAACTATCAACTTTTTTTTAAAGGATTTGATTTTTACAAAGAACAAGCAGATGTGAAAACTGTACCAAAAAGT